TAAAGTCTCTCTGATTCTGATTTCCTAAATCAGGCTTTTTTGGGGAATATATTCCTTATGCAGTTTATTTCAGTTTTTTGGTGGGAAAGAAAAATCACACTGATGATGTAGAAGCCTCAAAAACTATGATGCTCTAGAGAAGTTTGATCCAGACTGGATAGTGTATGTGTGAAAGACAGCAAATTAAAATTTCATGGCAAATGATCAAAATGATCCTACGGACACACGCTTCAGCAAAACCTCAAAAGCTTTGCAATTTATATTCACCAGCGTCTTTGGTTTAGATTGAAATGTGAAGTTGATTTGATAAAATCCCAAGGAGGATTTTGAAAAGGTATAACATCAGCAAATCTCCAAAATGGCACAGTAAAGTAAAAATGGTGGACTTCCTGTCATGTTTGGATCATAGGTCTCATGGACCTTTCGTACATTGTGGGTTGTTGGACCTCTGTAAGAAATTTCATTCAAATAGCTCAGTCTGTGTGCTGGTTCATACTTTCATAGGTGACACTGTGGAGCCATTTCGTCCTCTCCATACGTGAATTTTCACCAGGCCTGACGTGTGGGCAAAATTTCATGTGCTTTCAAGTGTCTTTAGACCCTCAAAAGGGCGATTCATTTGACCAAGTAATGATAATAAGGAGAGCAGATACAATTTGGCCTTCACACTTTTAGTGCTCGGGCTCTAAAAGACCCTCACAGGGTTATGATCTTAGTAGCTAGTTGCTAGCTCCATCAAGTATATCTCACATGTTCCTTTCATGAGTCAAAGCAGATTGTTCTGTTTGACAGCCTTTCAGTGTGGAACTTGACCATGATGGGGTCACAGGGAATGAGCTATTCTTCAGGAAGCAAGTGAGAGAGGGAATAAAAGATGGAAACACTGCCTCAGGTATCCATGGATACATGACGCACAGCGATGGCTCATGGAGCTACTCACATCTGTAGGAGGGCACAAATATCACCCAGATTGTGCATTTAATTGGAACGAATAATGACTAATGCAATGATGCACTGGAAAAAAAAACAGGTGAGGAATATTCGTACTTTATCTTTTCTGATTCTGGTTCTTAGTGATGAGCTAAGGTATCGCAGGGGCTTGAGCTACATGCTAACATGCTCAAAACTAATTTTAACAGCTCAACTGTTTTCCTTTGATACACTTATTTCACATCACAACAGAGAAACATGGCAATGCAAAGATTCACTGCATGTGGTTTGAGTACTTGAACAAATTGTAAACATTAAGCAGGTAATGTATACATTTTAGCCACTGGAACAAAGACTGTACACAAAAGATGCTTTTGGAGCTGAAAAGAGAAGCCAGTGCAAAAAAGCCTTAAATTCACATTCCTAATAACATCCAATAGGGTGAACTCTGAAAGAAGTGCAAAAAAAGTCCTTTCTCTTATAAATGTGAGAAAATGACGTCACTATTTAATACTAAACAGTCACAGTAAATAGATGCTAAAGCAGCATTAGGGTGAGGCTACCCTGTGATTGGCATGTAAAAACGTTTGTTTCTCCCTCAGATCTACCTCTTGCTTCTGGTTGGCTGATTAAAGTACAACAAAGCTGGCCCAAACGTCTGACTACAAGTCCAAAAACAAGTAGACTGTGACCTCAAGGGACGAATGCTCTGGAGGAATTTTTATTGCTCAGTATTTTTCCTGTGGGGAGCATAAATGTAGTGAAATTCGTGGCAGTCCATCCAGCAACATTTAACTCACAAACTACAAAATAAAAGTGAGTCTGACTTGCAAAACTTTCTGTTGCTTACTAAATTCAGGGTCACAGGGGTGGAAAGCCTATCTCAGCCGTTATGGGGCGAGAGCCTGGATGGATTGCCAATCAGTAGTTGACAATATCGAGGAAATGTGAATTCCTATAACAAATTATGCCGTTCAGTTTTTGAAGCTCTCAGATATTTCACTGAATGCGATAAAAGCTTTGTTGGCAGTGTCATTGAGATACTTCAATCTGGGCTGATATTTTCATTCCAGTCTGTCTCAAAAGACCAAAACTAAGGGATAAATACAACACTGCACACAAAGTAAAACTGCTTTTCAATCCATTTCACCTGCAGAGTTCAGAGAAAGGGACTGAAAGGATTCAGAAAGGGTGTGTGTGAACAGAATAACACTGCAGACCATTTTTTCTTTACAGTATAATCAACCAAATGAAAGTAGAGACCAAATCCTGGAGGCCACCCACTATCTGTGTCAGCAGCAGCTGCACTACCGGAGCTGCAGGGTAACGTGGCAGGATGTGGGAGGGTAATGGCTAACGTTATTCATATTTTCTACCTTATCTGCTTACATCAAGCTGCTTCTGTCTGCAGTGTGCTTAATGGGAGCTGACCCTGTTTAACGACCACAGCTGGTGTGTCTCTAACGATAATAGGGGGCCATTGGCCTCACGAAGGACCACATCTCATTTTCTCAAGCAGTTGGAAATACTAACGAGGAAAACATTTCTAAAAGGTCAGCCCAGAAACGGATGCGGCTTATCATTATGTTAGGAACATATTTAGGTTTGAAGCAGCCCTGGATATATTTCAGCAATTTGTAAGTTTCACCAAACGAAGAGGACACACATGACAACCGATGGCATTTGAGAAAGGGCATTTAATTCCACGAGGAGAAACATCGATGTAAGTGCACTTTCATTTTCAGCACACTTCTTGTGAACAGACATAACCTTGAAGAGAAATGTTAAGAGACTGACGGAGCAGGGTGATAAGCTTCAGGGAAGAGAGGAAAGGAAGGTGAGGAGAGGAGAGGATGGGGGAGGGAGCAGGGCCAAGACGAGATTAATTGATTTTGGAAAGAACTCAAAAACACGTCCCCAATCCAGTGATTTAAAGAGCTGGCTCACAGTCAGCGTGATGGAGCCGGTGCGGCAGCTGGCTGCAAGAATATGAAGGTGTCCAGAAAAGTCTTTTAGATCACATATTTTTTGGAATTTGTACTTTGAGGTCATTTTCAAAACAATTTCTTTAAAGGGTGTCGCAACAGTGATACAGCAGGTTATCACTGCCGCAATACGGCATTAATGAATTATTCCTACAGTATCGAGCGGCTACAGTTTTTAACAGCATAGACAAGACTGTAGCAGCGCCTGCCCGGTGACATGTGCACCTCTGACACACAGAATAATCAAATGAGAAAATCATCTTTAACTACATAATTAGAACGAAGACCATTATGAACAAAATCATGCTGAATATATATAGAATCGCTAAGTTAATCAGACTTTACTGTGTACAATGTACAGAAAAAAAGGTAATACTTTCAGAGGTATAGCTGCTTATTAAACCCATTTCTTATATGAGATTACAGACGAGTGTCACAGCGAGGGTTAGCAAGGTCCCCACTCAAACCCCCCCCCAAGAAAGCCAACTATGTCAACACGTTTAAACAGACTTTTTTCTTTCTTGACGGTAATGAAAAAACAGCAAAAATGACTGTGTCCATGCTGGACATGTCATCAAACCACAGTGTAAAAAGCCGTGTGAGTGGCTCTCAGAGGCAAGGAACCAAACATTACAACAATCATCAAACACATACACACAGCAGAGATTTTCAGACAGCCTGCAACACCACAGCACTTGTACTGACTAATAGGGTTTGAATGAAGCTGCACTGTGCTAAATGTCCCACTGCACTGAAGCCGAGAAGCAGAAGGTACATTTTAGTTTTGAGGATTACAGTACGTAATGTTACTTCATGTATGTAGTGTTGATTTGATAAAAATGTAATCTGAAAAATTAATATTAACTTGTAGAAATTGGCAAATTTATGAACAACTGCTTGAAATAAACAAGTCACATTATTCCTGCCTCAACTGTTTAACTTAGCTAGTTATTAGCTAATAAAATAGCTAAAAGCTACTTGTTAATTTGTGAACATGATAACACACTAAAGAATTGCCCCTGTGCCTCAGGTTGAATTTAAACATATGCTCACATGAAATATACTATTTACATACTGTCATAACATATGAATTTTAACTGCTTGAACATGGCAAGTTGTGCACAGATTAGCATTTTAGTGCAACTGTCATGCTAGCTGCCACATTTTGTGAACACCAATCCGTCGAGTCTCTAATCACATATTATTCTATTGGAAGATGACAGTTTAGCACTTAAACATCACACAGTGCCAAATATAAGTGCTTAGGTCAGTGAATGCCACTTTCAGCTTGCTAGCTAGCATCAGCACTAATGTTTCTACCAAATTTGTGGCAGTGTGGGAAACACCGGATAAAGATGCAGGCTTTTCCCACACCCCTTGCACACAAAAAAACGCCACGTAATCAATACTGAACAATGGGCCTTTTTCAACTTCACTGTCAGAAAAATCTTGTTTAATGAACAGTTTCTGGTGCACAAACTGCAAATGAAAAACACAGTATTTTCCATGAAATTCTTAAACAGCAAACCTCTCGACCATGAGGGGAAAACACTCGCTCAGCAGGGCTACACAAGCCTCGAGGCGCAAACTGTCCAGGAAGCCAGCGAAACCTGCCCCCCTCCAGTAATGCGAGCACCTTTTCTGTATTTGGCCTGTGGCGATAAAGCTTTGTGGACCGTGACGGATCAACAGTTTCTTTAAAACCTAGAAGAATCAGAATTTTACTAGCGTGCTACCAATGGCTATTAATCTATTTCCATTTTCACTAAACCACAGTACTTGAAACAAGAGACCCATTTTGACATCTTTTAGTTAAAAATGAATGGAAAATAAACAAAAACGGATAGATGAAAGTCTAGGAAATAATAAAAAAAAGTGAACTTTATACTGGTTTCACATGCTGTGTCAAGCAAGCATGGAAAAATCAGACTAGTCTTCACTCACAATTGTTTGGTGCAGTTTATGCATGAGAAACTACTCAGTTACCTCCACTTTTCAGGCAGTGTTTTGCTTAGTCCCTTCCATTCTAAATGACTTTAACTGAAAACTGTAGTTTTCCACACTCAACTTTTTGAGTCCATCAGCTGGGTACTTATAGTGCACTCTGAACATGTACTCAAATGATCACGTGTAATTATGGAAGTACAGCAATTTTTGACACAGCATTTGTGTGCATATTAGCATAGCATTTAGCTCACCCTCATAGAGCAGCTAGCATGGCTTTAGACATTATGATGTCTAAATTTATTATATAGCAGTTACCAAGGATTAACAAAAATATGGAGGATTTGCAAACAGCATGCTCAATGATTCTAAGACGTTTCTGCTATTATCATTATTATTATTATTATTATTATCATATTACTGCCCTAGTTGGGTGTCACGGATTCTAAAGTAATGCATTACATTTTTCTGTGTTGCAGAAGTGTGACATATTAACTACATAATAGCAAGAAATAACAATCCACAGAGCTACCAGTGAACCAGACGGACATTTTCTTAAGCTGTGCAAATCAAAAGGGCAAAAAATGTCAAACTTTTGCCAGGACAGCGGTGAGTGAGCGCGACAAGTAATTTATACCTGCAGATTATGCAGTTTTCTGTCACGTTATACAGATAATTTCAGATTCTGAATTTTACTTATTTCCCATTGGGCTTTTACATAGATTCAAAGTTGCCTGGTGCAGCTTTCACATCACCACTAAACAGCCATTTCATCTCCCAAGCAGTCTGGCAGACTCTCTGCATTCAGCACATTTAAAAGTCGGGCTCCTCCGTCGGCCCCCGCTCCCTCCCCCTGACCCCAGCTGTCCCGGTCATCGCTCTCATCTGTGTTTGACTCGTACTCTGATCCAATCCCAGATTCCCTGAAACGAAGCAACTCCAGGGCTCCCAGGACCTGCTCCCGCAGCAGCGAGCTTTCATCGGGGGCCCCGTCGCTGGGAGTCTCCCCTGTGTCCTGTCCCTGTTCCTGGCTGTCTGCCGCTCGGGAAGTAAAGCGGAAGCACTCAAGCCTAACTCCGCTGCTGCTAAGCCCCGAGGGGATGGTGTCAGCGCCCGTGGTGCCTGGAGAGCAGGACCCGGGCAGGACAGAGACCCAGGCACTATTGCTAATCTGAAGCTGGGACTCAGCTGCTAACAGGCCTGTAGATGAGGAAGGGGTGGGGGGTTCATGAGGAACGCCGGGAGGCTTTGCACGAAATGTGATCTCCAGAAGACTGTCCTGGGAACCCACTGTGGAAAACAGAAATGAGAAGAGATCAGATATGACATATTTATAATGGATTAAGCAAAGCACAGAAGATATTTCCTTATCACATATAAACAGAGATGCAGACCATGAAAGAAGAGGGGACGGGTCAAAGCTGAGATTACAAAGAGTGAGTGCTGGAACGGGAGAACTGGGAGCGGTACCCTCTAAGAGGGCTGTCATAGTATAATTAACTGTGTGCCAGAAGTAGGAGAGAAAACGGAGTACAAGAACATGAGCGCAATGGGAAAGAAAGAAACCAATTAAAAGTAAAGAAAAACAGGGAGAAATTGATGATTTATTTTACAGATCAGAATGGAGGTAAACAGGAAGATTAAAGGCAGCCAAATAAAAATCTACACTACACTTTAAAGGAGAAAACGATCTGAGTGGAAAGTCAATTACAAAACCGTATTAGCCACTCACTGGATGTTAACTGGCCCGCAGCTTTGAGCTCCAGCTCCTGGATCTGTTTGACCAACAGGGAAATGTGCTGCAGCAGGTCTGTGTTCTGCTGCAGCAGCCTCTGCACTCTGGCCTGGGCTTCAGTCCGAGCACACGCCTCCACCGACAGCTGTTCCTGCAAAACATTTACCTAAACACACACACAGACATACAGCTTTTAAATGCCACTGCCCGGGCATATTCAGTGTTACCTGAAACTGTTCAAAGTTTATGTAAAGGTTTAGTGTCTGAAAGCGCTCTGTGAATTTCATAATCATAAATACAGATACTCATGTCCTGTTTCCTGGGAGGTTTTTAAATTAGCCTTTTTTTTATGTGATCAGGAAGTTTTGTGTCAAACAGCCTTTGCTCAGTTACATTAAGTAAAGCACATTTCATTTAATTATTGAGCATATTTTAACCCCGTAACATCAAGCAGATCATATTTTAGACATATACCTCTACATAACTCAGAATGAAAACTCATAAATGCAAATCTTTTTCTTTAAAAAAATGTCCAGAAGGTTCAATAACCACTCCTCTTTCAACAAATTACATTTTTTTTGCCAATTATTTCAGGGTTTCGGCTTTTAAGGGTTAAAACAACTGATGCTGGTATGCACACAGGTACACGGTGAATTCTTCAAGGCTTGTGATTTTTCATTAAATGCATCACAGCTGATGATTCAGTGCACAAAAAAGAAAAGAAACTGTGTGCATCAATACAGTTAGTGAGAGTTTCATCACAAAAAGGAGGAGAAGAAAAAAATTGTGCGATAGCGTCACAGTGGCATGAGATCACCTGCTTTAAAAATACTCGTGGATATTTTTAGCTTCATTTACTCAGCACTCATGGGTCGGAACACACCCCTTTTTAAATGCAAGCTTCATTTCGATCTCGACGGCACTTCCGTGACGTTTTAATGGCTCTACCTCGCGTGGTGCTGACAAGATCTGTCCACAGACAGGCAAACACACATAAACAGCTGCTATACTCAAAACTGCCGTTGTGGAAGTTCGCACTACGGTAAAATTTTCCATGAACACATTTTCCCATGAAGAGACTCACACAAACTTAAAAGGTGAAAATATCTTCTGTGAGGTTCCAGAAGGGGAAAATTACCTGCGCTGAAGCTGCTAGTGCTTGTTGTTCCTGCTGCTGCAGTTGTTTCTGAAGGAAGTGGACCTGGTGCTCTGCAGAGCAGGATCCCCCTGCTGCAGCATGAGCCAGCACAGAGGCTCCAAGGATGGGTGAGCTCAGCAGAAGAGACGGGTCATCAGATACCTATAATGAATAATAAAATGATGGTGATTTAGGCTCCACTACTTCTACAAGCTGAACTGAAGCACTTTCACTAGTCATTCACTACACACATAAATACTGCTATCTACAAACTTTGACAACCATTATGCTGGGATCAGACTACACAGTATTTTTGTAGGAGTAGGCAATTATAGATTTATTTTGGCTTTTCCTGACCGAGAGACATATAGGAGTACACACACACTCGGGATCAAATCAACGTTTCCCAAGAAAAGAATACAATCGGACAACGGCAACCAAAGTAGCTCTTTTGATTCCTCTGTTATGTGCCTCTCAGTTCCCTCTGTCCTCCTACCTGTGATCCATCTCAGCATCCTCATGGAGGATGTCTCAAATCCTAAAATACACCCAGAGGATGGAGGAGTGAGGAGAGATGAGTCTCACAGGAGGAGCTATGATTGAAGGTGCACAGCTCTATCCTTTATGGAAGTGATTTTTTATTAGTGACTCGTGAAAAACACTCAAAGGGACAGAGCTGGAATATACAAAGCCTGAAGGGCATGAAGAGGACTCCTGAAATAAGTAAACGCTGTTATGCTTATCTGAGATCGTGGAATAGAGCAGTAGGTTTTAACAAAATCGTGGACAAATGATCCAGCAGTGTTATACATCACAATTATGTGAGATTGCTTTTAAATGACTGAATCTGTCAGAATCTGACTGATGTAGGAGTTTTAAAACCGACAGCGAAACAATATTTGGTGATTTAAAAATCTGCCACCTCAACACCCCCGTGTGTGTCGGGGACAGCTCTTTCATTATGCTTGCTTTGTTTATGCTATATACTGTCTTCAATTACAGTTGTGTACAGTATCTTATTCTTATTCTATTCCAGTGTTCACTAATTTTTGCTATATAACTTTGCACTGTCCACTTTCTGCTGTAACAAAACAAATTTCCCATGTGTGGGACTAATAAAGGTTATCTTTTCTTATCAATGATGTTTTAGACAGTCCAGTTTGCTACCTGGTTGCCTGTCCAAGTGGATCCCACATACCTTTGTTGTATTACACTAATGCATTAATAGAAGAGAGATAGTTAGACAACAGTGTAATTGTCTGGAACTGCTCTTCATTTTAAAGCGGTTGTATTTTTAAAACCTTTGAAAGAGGAGTGAAAGAAGCTATCTATGTCCACTGTAAACAAACATCTTTGAACGATGCCACCACGTAGCACATCATTATATACCAGCTAGCCCAACTTCAGTAACCCTCCAAACGTCACTGCTGTTTAGTTTTCTGTCTTCATTTATGTTGGAAGTGATAACAGAGCTGTACGTTTGAATTTTTTCAGAAATGACTCAGTCAGACATAGGGATGGGTACCAGTATCCGGTACCATTATGGCACCGGTTCTGACATAAACGGTAGTAACCAGACCGAAAAGCAGCACACATTTTGGTGCTTTATTTTGGTGCTTTTTTCCCCCTGAGATGTCATGCACTTTGGATTCCGGCCAATCATTTTACCTTTGCGAGCGTAGTAGGCGGGCCCAGGTACGTACGTTCTTTTAGAGCAGAGCTACAGATTAAAAATGCCCAAAGCGAAGCGGTCAAAGTCTGGCTGTACTTCACAGCAAAAGATGCAAACTCGGCAGTCTGCAACAAGTGCTTTAAGGTGATACTGTGATACTGTGCAAAGGAGGTAACACCTCGAATCTGATGAAACACCTGGTACTGTATAGCATTTTGTTAAAAGCCGAGAAATGCGCCGTATTTGATAGCTTGCTGCGAGACCTCACACCGAGCACATCTAC